ATCCGAGTACTGTCCGGGCTGGGTCCTCACACACAGGCACTGTCTTCTGAAATTGCAGTGCCTCCCACAGGTACACGCCTGATGGAGTCTTTCCTCCCTCCCATCTGAAAAGCTGTGGCCATCTCGGTGGTGGGTAGCTGAGACAGTACCGTAGCTGCCCTTTCCCACACAGTCAGCAGTTCTTGTTTTCTGAAAGAGAAGGGAGCGAGATTGTGTTGGTCAGCTGCCTCTGAATCCCAGTCCAGGTCCTGTTGCTGCCCCCTGGAACCTGATTTCTCCTGTCCTAGACAGCAGAATAGGGGAGGGCTTTCCATGGCTGACCAAACCAGATAACCACCTTTTTTTTTTTTTTACTCATTCATTCTTTGCACAGTTGTATGCCAGGTACCCAGCACATACCAGGTGCTGGGGCAGGCCGGAGGGCAGGCAGACCAGTAAGAAAGTCAGACTGAGGACCTGCTGACTTGGACCGAAGGGCCGCAGGGAGAAGAGCGAGGTGGAGAGACGGGAGGGGAGGCAGGCCCCACGTGGCATGTCCACCAGGACACCTGAGCATGTTAACATGTCCCCGGACCAGCTCCTCAAGGGGACAGAATCTCCAAAGACAGCGAGCCATGTCACACGGCCCCGGGTATGTCGTGTCCTGCTCCAAGGACCACGTGGCTTCCCAGCGACCCTGTCGGCAGCTGTGCATGACAGTCTCCACAGTCTCCACAGCCTTCTCTGGCTCTTCTGGGACGGGAGGCTTTGTGATACCGAGGCAGTAAACCCCTCCAAGTCCAGTCTGCCACTAACACAAACCACGTGTGGCCCTCCACGCCAGCTGCCACACTGTTTTCCTTGGACAGCATGTCTCCTTTCTCTCTCCCACAAGCTGATCTTGAAAACTGCTGATGGAGTGTTCCCTCATCCCCCTTGGAGGCCTGCAATGTGGCCACTTGACGTGGCTCCCTCTCCCTTCCCGTCCCCCAGACTGACTCACTTTCCTCCTCGGTTTCCAGTCCTCCTCACCCCGAGCACCACTTCCTTTTATTATCTGGGGGGAAGGGATGGATTTTCTAGTTTCCAGGGAGAGCAGTCTATAGTTGGCCTTAGCCCGGCATGCCTCTGGTCCTGCTGCTGCAGACAGCCTGGGTCCGGGGGTCCCCACAGAGTGTCTGGAATGTGGCCTGTGGGTGCCAAGTATGACAGCCCTCTGGATAGAAGCAGCTTGTGGCCTATGAATCTGGACACACTAAGACCAAAAGCAAAATAGCTCACAGGCCTCTGATCTCCTGTCCTTGCAAATAGTCCTCTTAGATTGTCGTTACCATTGACAGAGTGATAAGGAAAGTGAAATAAAACTGGATAAAGCTAAATGAGGAGGATGGGTGTTATAGTTCAGCCCTGCACTGTCTATGATCACGGCACTAGTCATGTGAGGCTATTTAAATTAATAAGAGTTAAATAAAATTAAAAGTTCGATTCTTCCGTCTCCGGAGCCACGTTTCAAGTGCCCAGCCTTGGAGGTCCATCTAGGGCTAGTGGCTACAGTAAGGGACGGTGCAGATATAGAACATTGCCATTATAGCAGAAGGTTCTTTTGGACAACCAAGCTCTGGCTCCTGAGGGCACTTGGATAGTCTGAGGAGTTTTGCTAACCTTAAAACACAGCCTCGTGCTGGAATGTTATTCAGCCTTAAAAAGAAAGGACATTCCGACACCTGCTACAACATGGATGAACCTCGAAGACGTGAGGCTGAGCGAAATAAGCCAGACACCGGACACATACTGCACGATTCCGTGACATGTAGCACCTAGAACAGGTAGATTTGTACAGATAGAAAGTGGAATGGTGGTTGCCAGGGGCTGGGGGAAGAGAATAGGGAGTTAGTGTTTAATGGGGACAGAGTTTCAGTTTAGGATGATGAAGAGGTTCTGGAGATGGATGGTGGTGAGGGTTGCACAGCAATGTGAATGTGCTTAATGCCACTCCTTGTATGTTCAAAATGGTAAAGTTTATGTTAAGTGTATTTAACACAATTTCTAAAACACACAGCCTCACAAACTACTAAAAATCATTTCCAAATAACTTTTAGAATAATGTCTTCTTTATGGGCAGAGTGCCAGGAGAGAGGGGATCTGTTGTTGAGCACCTGGATGTCCCCAAAGGGCTCACGTTCGGCGTTCACGGACATAGCGACTCTGCCAAGCAGACTGTGGTCCTTGTTCCCCAGACGGTGACTCGGGCTCCCTGGGCAAGGAGGCTGGCCCCTGACACACAGCTGGCCTGAGGAAGCATCAGGATGTAACCCCAGGACTGTCTGGTCCCCAGGGGTACCATCTGTGGTTAGACTTTGCAGCATGAAACCCGGGTCTGCTGCCTCAATCAGTAACACTTGAGAGGACACTTCAGCTCTTTGGGCCATGCTTGTCTGGGTAAAAGCAAGTCAGGACAAGGGACGAGAGAGTAACTTCCTAAGACACACTTTCAGAGACCACAGGCAGCACTGGGGGAGGCCTCTTCCTCTGGCCTCCTTCAGACAGAGGCTCAGAAGGAGGCCGGAAGAAGGGAGAACGGGCATGGTCAGGTGGATGGATTACTGGTGCATACTTTTTTTTTTTTTCTCCTGAGTTCCCGTTATTGGTGTTCCAGCATTGTCCTAACAAAATTGAGAAGGACCAAAAAAGATGGCATTAGGCAAAACCTGTCATCTCTAAAAGACTCTGTGGCTGAGACTGATCGATCACCCGCTTTTCAAAAGAAAGCATGCTGTTCACATGTGCACAGAATATTAAACTTACTTCATCTCAGGCTGATTTTTCACGCTTGCATGACCCTCCAAAGCCACCTTTGAGAGTGACCTTAAGGAAAGAGAGTGGGATTTCGACTAAGGTCCTTTAACTGGCTGGACCACCACTCAGCTGGGTGACCTCAAGCAGCTGTCCCTCTCCGCTCCCCAGTTTCTCCTATCTGGGACATGGGGAGTGTACATTTATATCACAGAGTTACTGTGAAGGTCAGATCAAATCATGCATGCGAAGGCTTGCTAACCGTAAACTGCCAAACAACTGTTAGAGTGGTGACTAATTCTTATTTAATATTAGTGACATGAATAGTATTAACCAGGGCACTTAGCGAACACGTGAAGCTGTCTCCCAGAGTGTTCCATTCAGTTGCCTTCATTGCTTTGGTCGGCTGGTATTGAGTACCTACTTTGTCCCAGAGTCGGAAAGCTCCTGGATTCAAAGAAAGCAGCCCGCCTTTGCAGCAGGCCTGCTGTGGGCTCTCCAGTTGCTGAATGACGGTGGACCAAGCATGTCCCATTGCCACGCAGCACAGAGTAGGGCCAACGGGAAACCACAAATCAGACCGTGACCTCTGGGCAGCCCATCAGGGTGCCGGCCAAGCCGAGGCGGACCCGCCTCCCCAGGGGCATCACAGAAGACAGCACCAACGGGGCAGGGAGCCCCCCGCCTGTCTCTCAGGCCCACAGAGCAATCCGTTTTCGTTGAGGTGGCTGGTGTGACAGCAGAGAAGCCACGAGCTTCCATCTCTGGCTGCGCCGCTTGCTGGCTGCAGGCCCGTGGCCGATTTCTTCCCTCTTTGGGCTCCAGTTTCCTGGCTGATCATGTCCACCTTGAAGGAGTGTTTGGAAGATTTAGTGAGAGCATGTGTCTAAAGAATCTAGTCCGTGCCTGGCACGGATAACCTGTTTCTCTTGAGACCTCTCCTCCCTCCCCCTACGCACTAGCTGTGCTTATTTCTCCAGGGCTATTCGGGGCTTCTTTCCTTCTGCAGAGGGGCATCTTGAATGCCAGGGTGACTTTCTGCTGGAGGAGAAGCGATGAGCAGGCTTTTCACATTCCAGTCGTCACGTGGGAGGCTCAAGACTCCCTTCCTGTTTGGATGCCGGGCCCAGGTACCAGTAGGGTGGCTGTGCTGCTATGATGAGCCTCTCTGTACAGCAAGGGTCCATCTCCCTCGGCGCTTGTTGGGGACCCCGGACCCTCCGGGGCAGAGAAGCTACTGTCTGCAGTGTGGCCGGTCACATGGCAGAAAGAAGTGGGGGTGGTGAATCACGCACCACTCATAACTCTCCCACCCCAAAGTGACACATGTCTCTTCTGCTCACATTTAACTGGCCACATCCCACTGCAAGGGGTTGGGGGCGTACAAATCTACCGTGTGCTCAGGAGAAGAACCAGAAATCTGATGACAGCCTCGGTCACTACCACGGCCCCACTTTAATCCATAAAGTAACACTGCATGTTGGTATCATTATGGCCAACTTAAAGATGAGACCCGGGGTCTGTCACTTCCCCAAGACCACAAGCAACAGCTCCTTGGGATTTTGTATATCAAATCGGAGAGGCGTTTATCATCCTAATAAAGGTTTCCAGTTTGGGGACTCGGCCCCTGTTCTTTCTCCCCCCTACAGCAGCCTACACCTACCTCTGAAGGTGCTTCCTACACCACCCTGGAAGGATTTATTTCCTCTTCCGTCTCTCTAGACTTCGAGTCTTTTCGTCTCCGAACCCCGTGTACCCAGCACAGAGCGGGGCTGTTGGGCCAGCCTGGGGAACCTTAGTGTGGCAGGGGAGTGTAATGATCTCACAGGCATAGACCTAACCAGATTAATTGAGTCCCAGTGGTTTGTTACCTGACGAAACCTGCAATTCTTGGGAAACAGATTGACCTGCTGTCAGTGGAATTCTGGTGGCTCTGGGGGTTTTGTTCACATTTCAGGTCCTGTGGCTGGAGACCCCCAGGAAAACTGACAGTGGTCTCTCCCAGCTCTGAGCCTTCACTGATATGGCGGCTGTGAACAGAGAGAATTGTTTTCATGGAGATCCTAGGTCCAGTTGACATTGCCTTCCCATTAGTCTGGGTTTCTGAAAAGCTGAACACAGTGAGCTTTTATATATCAAATCACATATTTCACATAATTCCCTTAAAATGTCAGAAATGCATTTATCATATTAAAGGCTTCCATTTTTGCTATTCTCCCCCTGTTTAGATGCAGATGTTGGACAAATTTCCCATGGAAGGAGGACAGAAGGATCCCAAACAGCGGATCATTCCCTTTCTGCCAGGTGGGTGAGACACATGCTATTAGAAGGGGCTCTGGGGGATCCAGGATAGCCCCCACATCTCTCAGCTCAGCTTCCTGGGGCATTGTCCTAATGACCAGAGTCCCAGCCGTTTGTAGAAATTAGTGCCTAAGAATATGGGCTTTGGGGTTAGATGCTACACCATCTTCTTAGGCAAGATACTTCACCTCCAGGATCCTCAGTTTTTTCTGTCTCTACAGTGGGAATAATTAGAGCTCATAAAGCTTTTGTAGTGAGTGGCATCTTTGTTATGGCTGCAGTATTACTTTGCCATTGCCGTGTCATGAATTCACACCAATTTAGCAGCTTAAAACCACCCTCATTTATTACCTCAAGTTCAGTTGGTAGGAAGTCCAGGCAGGTGCTGCTGGGTTCTTCTCCCAAGGCAGAAGTCATCATCTTGGCCAGGCTGGGCTCTTACCTGGAGGATTAGGGAAGAATCCACTTCCAGCCTCATTCAGGTTGTTGGCAGAATTCAATTCCTTGCAGCTATGGAAGTAGAATACATGTTTCCTTGCTGGCTCTCAGCCAGGGACCCCTCAGCTTCCAGAGGCTGACTGCGTTCCTTATCCATCTTCAAGCTGGCGGTGGGGCATTGAATCTTTCCTGTGCTTTGAATCTCTCTGACTTCCCCTTCTGCCACCTGTTGGAGAAAGCTGTTTGCTTTTAAGGGCTCATGTGATTACGTTATACCTACCTAGCTAATCCAGGATAATTTCCCTCTCTTAAATAGAACTGTGGCATATGTCGTAACATGGTCCCAGGAGTGAGATCTCATCATATGTATAGGCTCTGGGGCTCTGGGGATGATGATGGAACATCTTTGGGGGTCCATTTTAGAAATCTGCCTGCCGGGGCACCTGGGTGGCTCAGTTGGTTGGGCGACTGCCTTCAGCTCAGGTCATGATCCTGGAGTCCCGGGATCGGGTCCCACATCAGGCTCCCTGCTCGGCGGGGAGTCTGCTTCTCCCTCTGACCCTCCCGACCCTCCCCCCTCTCATGTGCTCTCTCTCTCAGTCTCTCTCTCTCAAATAAATAAATAAAATCTTAAAAAAAAAAAAAAGAAATCTGCCTGCCTATCTGCCACAGCTCCCAAGCACCTTCTGAGTGCCAGGCACTCCTCCAGGCACTATGGAGGAGTTAATACCCTCATGGCTGATCCCTGCACTTCAGACATTAAGTGTTTCTTTCCCCCCAAAAGAATTCCTTACCAAAGGAATAGTATTAAGGCTTCAGCTCCAAAAAACGGGCTACCCAAACCAGAGTTATTACCTCATGTAATAATATTGGATGTCTACTGTAGGCCAGTCACGGGGCTAAGTGCTTTACATTCATTACCTTGTTTAGTCTTCAGAACAACCTTGTGCCCATTTTACAGATGAGGAAATTGAGGCTCAGAGAAATTATAATCATTTGCACAAATAGCAGAGCTGTGCTTCAAACACAGCTTTGGCTGGCTCCAAAATTCATGCCTGAAGTCAAACAGCCCAGGTTCAAATCCCAGTGCCCCCCGCTCATCCACTGTTACTTCGGTAAATTATTTAAGCACACAGAGTCTCATTCTTCATTTGCAAATTATAGATAATAGTGATACTTAAATAATAGAGTTGTTGTGAGGATTAGCTAGGTGCTAAGTGGCACATAACTAGCAGCAATCAAGCACTTACTATTATTTTTATGTACAGATAATCAGCAAATTGATAGTCGCCCTAAATCACACATATTTAGAGCTGGAAGTGCCCTTTAGCTCTTTTCCATTTTGCAGACAAGGGAGCAGGCCCTGAGAGGAGGGGGACTCCCTGAGTCCCACAGGAGCCCATTCTCTCCTCCCTACTCCAGGGTTCTGCCATCAGCACGTCGAGTGGTTCTTCCAGATATTGGCATCACTGAGTGGATTTAGAGACAGGGTAGATGTATTTGCCAGGCCCCATGTACTGGGAGAACCATTTGCCTAAAAAAACTAATATTTTTAGTTCTCCACGGAGGAAGTGTGCAGTCATACTAGAATTTTTGTTTCCTATTGGAGAAAACCCAGTGTACCAACGCAACAGCCAACTAGCAGGGCTCCAGAGCTTACGCTTTGGAGTCAAACAGACCCAGTTCTGTGACTTCACACAGATGACAACCCCCTGCCCCCAAGCCTCAATTTCTCCATCTGTAAAATGGGACAATGACTCCCGCTTTACAAAGCTTCTCTCCCTGGCACATAGTGGGTTCTCTGCAAAAGTCAGAAACGGGATCCTGGGACATTCCTTGGGAATTTCTTGGTATTCATATTTTAGGGTCATACTTAAATGATCAATCTGAATATTCAAGTTGAACTGGACCCCAAACGTAGGTTTTTTTCTTCAAGGAAGGAAAGGAAAGCAGTGAGTTATAACTCTTTACTGGATGAAAGACAAAAACCAGCTGTGAAAAAACTTCCCAGCACAGGGAAGAACTTGAGCTGACCCTCTCCCAAGCCCCTGAAAACTTTCATGGTTACGGAATCCTTTTCCACCCACGAATTTATGAAAATGCTCTTCTCAGAGACTCAGCCCCATTTTCCCTGCTTGGGGCACCCACTTGCTGCTCAGAGAGGTGTGGTTGGGCCCCAGGACCGCTAGAGCATCCCTTCATGGCCCACCTCTTAGCTCTTCCTTGAGGCCAAGGCCAAGGGCAGGGAAAAAGCTGAACACAGGGAGGCACATCCCCTCTCCTAGGGGTCCGTTTTCTGCCAAGACTGCCGCGTCAGCAGAACAAAAGCAAGTCTCTTGTTAGCACAAAGGCAGGGGGAGGGGGAAGCAGCCCTGTACAATTTTCCATCCGAGCAAGAGCTGGGGAAGCCAACTTGGCAGAGGATGCGGCTTGAAAAATAAGACTTACAGTTTGGCCTTCCACCACTGGGAAACAAAAGCCTGCCCGTTCCCACCAAAGGCTTTGCTCTCCGCCTAGCACCCTTTCCACTCCAGGAGGGCTGGCCTGCCAGGGAAGGCTCACCCTCCTTCCCCACAACTCACACAGAAACCCATGAGGCACAGATAAAGGGCCATTGCCCCCGTTGGCATTTCACTCAGAGCCCCCGGCCAAGGAGGTACTGGCCACATGGTTCTGCCCCACAGCCCAGGGCCTGAGCCGGGCTCCAGGTCTGCTGCAGACGGATGATGAATTAGCCTATCAGAGGCAGGTCTTGAGAAACCAAGCCGCAGGTTGAGGAAAGAACGTGTGCTCTTAATTGCAGAGTGTGAGTCAATATCATATAACCCATTTAAACAAAACAAAACAAAAAGTGATTACTCTTATGAGCACCTAGGAAGGGCGAAGCCCTGTGCTGGGTGAGTCATGGAGGTTACCACTAAGAAATAAGGGCTGCTCTCCCATTTTACAGATGAGGAGACTGAGGCTCTGGGAGGTAAATGCATTTCCCAAGGCAGCACAGTCACCCTGGATTGGCTGACTACAGTGCCTCTGGCCTCCCCGGCAGGTGCCACCACAGGGCTTCCTGTCCCCCTCGTTGGCAGGGCATCTGCCATATGCCCGGAGACTCCTAGGCCATTTGGGGAGAGGAATGGTGCTTTTGTTGTCGTGTCACACCCCCAGGAGACCTTGAAGGTGCCGGAGTTCTCCATCCTTCTCTCTCAGCCCCTGCAGGCTGGGCCTTGAGTGAATTCTCTTTGTCGGTGGTGACTCCAGGACCAGCCTGTGCTGTTCCCATGGGCCGGCGCATGCACTGTGCCTATTGTGAATTGTTTGAGTTGGGTCACAGCCTCCCCAGTAAGAGGCCTGAACACCCCACTCCCCACCCTTCCTCTGATTTATAGAAGGGGACATTATATCAAAATGGGACCAAAATGTTTTTGGTAGGGACTCCTCTCCAATTCTGAGATACAGATTAGAGGCAGGAAGCATTTACTGTGGGAGATTTCTCTTCAGGCAGGCATTCCTTGTTTTTCCTAAAGGCTCGGGATTCTCCTAGAGGTTCTAAACTTCGAACAGTCCCACCCACGAGGGTGGTAATTTGATTATCACAATGACTGGGGGTGGAATGGGGATGGTCCAGGGATTCTAAACATCCTGCAGGGTGGGGGACTCCCACAGTGGGAAGGACTGCCCCACCCGGAATGTCAACAGGGTCCCTCCCTGTTGGGAAACACTGACAGTGTCAAGAGGGCCGGCCCCCTGTGCTGGCCCATCGAGGGCTCACGGTACCTATCCACTGAATAAAACCAGGTACATCAGGTTGTAAACCCTCCCCACTTGGCTGCGTAATTTGCTTTTTTATGGTAAACGGCATGAAAACTTTCTGATTTCAGAAGCAATACATGTTTATGGTAGGAAATTTGGGGAAAGTCAAAGAAGAAAACAAAAAGGCTCTGTCTTCCACCCTTTGGAGACAAGCACTTTGAATCCTGTGATGCTTTTTGTTTAGATTTTTCCTTTCTAATAAACATGGTGGTCAGAAGTTTGACTGACTCGTAAGCAGAATTAAAACGATCACCATAATAAACAAAGGAGACTCCATGCCATTAAAGAATATGAGGAATATGTATTTATCTCACTGTGGGTTATTGTTTTCTTTTTAAGTGGTAGAAATTAAGCAGAAAAAAGAAAACCTTCACCATTAGGTTGACCATATCTACCTAATTTCCTAATTGTGCCCTTTTGCCCAAGAGCCAGTGATCAGATTATGTTAAGTGTTAGATTAACCACATTGGCTTTTGGGTGCAAATCTCCCTAACCAGCTTGCATTGCAGATCTTGGAGTCAATAGGCTGTTTCCCATCATCCCTTTCAATTCTATCTTTTGAAAACTCCTTTGGACCTTTTTTTTTTTTTTTTTTTTAATTTTTAAAATTTATTTGACAGAGAGACAGCGAGAAAACACAAGCAGGGGGAGTGGGAGAGGGAGAAGCAGGCTTCCTGCTGAGCAGGGACCCAATGGAGGGCTCCATCCCAGGACTCTGGGACCGTGACCTGAGCCGAAGGCAGATGGTTAATGACTGAGCCACTCAGGGGCCCCTCCTTTGGGCCTTTCCTACCATCCTGTTCCTGCTCACTCAAGCTTGATCTTTGGAGATGGCGGCCTCACCAGAGCCATGTTGGAGCACTGGTTGATCTCTCCTTGCCCTGCCGCCTTGTGACCCGAATTGCTCTCCTTGACCTGCCTCCTCTGACCAGAAGCTCTCCATACTTTGCTGTTGGAAAAGCTGTGGTCTCCCTATGCCCTCCTCTTTGACCTTCCCCTGGAGACTCCTGGCACTCTGCATAAGCTGGGCTCCCCCCTTGGTGTCTTATTTCTGATTTTCCTGCCCCCTGCCTGTGTGACAGGTCCAGAATGGTGAGGCCAAGCCGTCTTAATGGTCAGTGCATGCACTTGGCCACCATCTCCCCACTCCCCTATTAGACTCACAGAAACTCACCAGTTTGCTTTAAACAAACCTCACCGATAGCATTTTAGCATCTTGGATGTTTCCAGACACCCTCATCATCTCTATACTTGTCTTTCCTGTTACCTGCCCACACATCACACTGGAAGATCTGGTACCACAGCCACTGCTCAGGATACCACCAAACAAGTAGTAGATTGATTCTCAGCTAGTTTTCGGTGAGGCCGGAAGGCTTGGAACCCTTCTGTTACACACAGCTGATTGGGGAAGCAATTGGAAGGATTTGTCATCTTGGCAAGTGAAATCCACCTTTATGCATTCATCAAGTATGAGTGCCGTGTGGTGAGGGTACAAAATTGATTAAGGTCCAGTCAAATCCTATACGTTCTGAGCCCCATGACTTTCCCCATGAGGAAAGAAGAACATATAAATTGATAGTGTGTGCAATCAGAAAGAGACAGGAACTCTTAATCCATTTGAAGTAGATAAAAGTTTCTCAACTGGGATGGTGGGTGAGGTTGGATGAGAAAAGTATTCCAGACAGAGGGAAAGGCACAGAATAATGAAAGAGTGTGGAGTGTTTGCAGAACGGAAGACTAGACTAGGCATAGGAGGACACAAGAGGAAAGGAGGCTGAGCTGTTAGGTTGTCCACTCTACTGCTCACCCCCTCTGAGAACCGCACAGTTCGATTATCAGATCTGGCCTTTCTTCTTCATCTGGTAGGAGCCCCTTCCTTCTCAGGATTGATCCAGCCTCCCTTATCTCACCAAAACTTGCCTCCTGGGCCCCACTCCCTCAAGCCCTTGCATTTGAGCTGTGAACAGGGCTTTGGAGGACAATGCATGGGGTCATTCAGGCCCTGTGGACATCCAGCAGGGGATGATAATGGAAGCCAGAATTTGGGTACCACTCAGACCTACCAGAGGCAGCCACATCCACACCCTCCAGGTTTGCTGAGAACTTGTCATTGCCCCCTTACAATGCCATGTGTGCTCTCCACTCCTGCAGGCAAAATTCTCTTCCGACGGAGCCACATCCGGGACGTGGCCGTCAAACGCCTCATACCGATTGATGAGTACTGTAAGGTAAGTCTAAGAAATGCTAACACTTCCCTGTGTCTCATGTCTTCCCTTTAGGTTGTTTCTTTTCTTCTTTTCCCTTTCTGGCTACAAAATAGTCATTGCGAGCAATCCGCAGTTGAAAGAAATGTAAAAACCAGAAAATCAACCACCCATGAGTCCTCAGAGGCAACAGTTATTAAGGTTTCTACATGTTTCCTTTCTAGTTTTTCTCTCTATATGCATTTCTTTATGGTGTTGACACCATCCCATATGTGTTATTTTTGTTGCTCTTTCTTTTTTCTCTAATATTGTGATATAAGAATTTCCCCATGGTATAAAAACATCTTCTTGAGCCTACTTTAAATGGATGCATAGTATTCCACTGAGTGTGAATGTTCCAGAAGTTATTCAGTCCCTGTCCTTGGACAGTGCAGCTGGCTTCCAATCCCTTGAATGTTCTAAATCACAAGGGGCCTGCCTTTTGGCTACATCTCCTTTGATTTGCAGCTGTGGTTGGGAAAGAAGCATGCTTTTCCTTTGTCTAGGTTCCCTTACCTTTAGTATTATTTCTCTAACTTAAAATCACTAGCAGCTCTGATTGGAGAAGGGTGGGAATAACAAGAAATGCCTTAACAATGGAGCAGCAGAGATCGGAAACAAAGCAAATGTATTTGTTCTCTCACATCTGTCCTACATTTTCCTGGAGGTTCTAGCCAGTGTACACAGGGAAAAAAGAAAATAAAAGGCATACAGTTCGGAAAGGAAATAAAACTGCCTTGATTCACAGATGACATGATTCTGTTGGAGAAAATCGTAAGGGAGCCACAAGAAAAAAAAAATACTAGAACTAATAAGTTTAGTAAGATCACAGGATACAAGATCGATATAAAAAATCAACTGTTGGGGCGCCTGGGTGGCTCAGATGGTTAGGCATCTGCCTTCAGCTCAGGTCATGATCCCAGGGTCCTGGGATCGAGCCCCGCATTGGGCTCCTGGCTCAGCGGGGAGCCTGCTTCTCCCTCTGCCTCTGCCTCTCCCCCTGCTCATGCTCTCTCTCTCTCTGTGTCTCAAATGAATAAATAAAATAGTAAAAAAAAAAAAAAAATCAACTGTAGAGGCACCTGGCTGGCTCATTCGGTGGAATGTGAGACTCTTGATCTCAGGGTTGTAAATTCAAGCCTGACATTGGGCATGGAGCCTCATTGGAAAAAAAAATAAAATAAAAAATAAAAAATAAAAATCTTTCTTTATTAAAAAAAAAAAATCAGTTGTACCTCTAAATACTAAGCATGAACAATCCAAAAATGAAATTAAGAAAATAATTCCACTCACAATAACATCAAAAAGAATAAAATACTTAGGGGCGCCTGGGTGGCTCAGATGGTTAGCGTCTGCCTTTGGCTCAGGTCATGATCCCAGAGACCTGCGATTGAGCCCTTCATCGGGCTCCTGGCTCAGTGGGGAGCCTGCTTCTCCCTCTCCCTCTGCCTTTGCCTCTGCCCCTGCTCATTCTCTCTCTCTCTGTATCTGTGTCTCAAATTAATAAATAAAATCTTTAAAAAAAAAAGAATAAAATACTTAGGAATAAATTGAATAAAAGAAGTACAAGGTTTATACATTAAAACTACAAAACACTGTTGAGAAAAACTAAACCAGCTCTAAATTAATGGAGAGACATTACATACTCATGGATTAGAAGACTCAGTAGTGTTAAAATGGCACTTCTTACTACTCAGGCATAAAAAAGAATGATATCTTGCCATTTGCAATGACATGGATAGAACTAGAGAGTATTATGCTAGGTGAAACAAGTCAAAGAAAGACAAATGCTCTATGATTTCATTCATATGTGGAATTTAAGAAACAAAACAAACGAGCAAAGGGGAAAAAAAAGAGAGGCAAACCAAGAAACCAAGAAACAGACTCTTAAGTATAGAGAATAAACTGATGGTTTCCAGAGGCGAAAGCGGGGGGGGGGGGGGCGGGGATGGGGGAAATAGTGATGGGGATTGAGGAGTGCACTTGCTGT